ATTAGTGAGAAGAAGATGCTTACACTTGTAGAAGTATACTTTGCTTATTCTGGCGTAATTTGTAAGTATTTTTTTATGCAATAGATTTTTCAAACGATGGCATTTTGCATTTTCTGACAGGTTCTTTGTTAAGAGCTTGTTTGGGAGAGATTTTTGGGGGAAAGAATTGATTTTGAATAGTGATATGATGGGAAATGTGTGGTTGAAAAAGAAGAAAAAATTATTAATGTGATGAATAATATTATTTTATCGAAGAATGTGTGGTTGAAAATGAGAATTGATTTACTGTAGAAAAATTTAATCTCTCCCAAACAGGGCCTAAATCTTATCCATTGGAGTTCATATCATATTTCCATTATTGTCGATCATTGCAATTTGAGGACAAGCCTGATTATATGTACTTGAAGAGGCTTTTCCAAGAGCTCTTTATTCGAGAAGGTAAATATATGTAGGGATGCTTATATTGCGATATCTATCTTCTTTTCAGTTTATTCCATTTTATAGTCAATAAAATATCCTCAAAAGTTGATTTCAAGAGTTTTATTATGGTTTCTTCTTGATAAATATGATAATCGGAGCAGGTTATCAGTTAGACTATGTGTTTGACTAGACTATATTGAAGTATCCACAGATTCGCTCCAGTTCTAGAGTACAAGTTAGTGTTATCTTGATTTGTTGTATATAAGCCCTGCTTTATTTTGAGTTAGTATTTGTATCTTATATTTTTCTTTCTTTTGTCAGCAGCCAATGGGAAAATTACCTGTAAACCCTGGACCTTCAGCTGAAAGAGTACAAAAGACTCCAGGTCTGCTAGGGCGCCTCATTTTGTTTTGAGCACCCCCAAGATTTTGATGTTCACCCACACTTTTTGTACACACGCCAATTGAGTTTGTCACGTGCATTGGGAACTTTCTATCGACTTCTGATTTAACATAATTATCTGAAAGTGAATAGGCTAATAAATGGTTGCCATTATTTATGTGCATCATCTAGTGAAGCAAGAAGTTCGAGACAGATTCTCTGGTGCAGTTGAGGCATCTGCCAGAAGGAATGGTTCTGGTGGAGGCTTGCATGGGGATAACTTGAGGCACAGATCATCAGACAGCGTGCCATCATCAAAAGATGTGGTTAAAGATGTTCTTAATATATTANTTAGTGAGAAGAAGATGCTTACACCTGTAGAAGTATACCTTGCTTATTCTGGCGTAATTTGTAAGAATTTTTTTTTATGCGATAGATTTTTCAAACGATGGCATTTTGCATTTTCTGACAGGTTCTTTGTAAATCTTATCCATCGGAGTTCATATCATATTTCCATTATTGTCGATCATTACGATTTGAGGACAAGCCTGATTATATGTACATGAAGAGGCTTTTCCAAGAGCTCTTTATTCGAGAAGGTAAATATATGTAGGGATGCTTATATTGCCATATCTATCATCTTTTCAGTTTATTCCATTTTATAGTCAATAAAATATCCTCAAAAGTTGATTTCAAGAGTTTTATAATGGTTTCTTCTTGACAAATATGATAATCGGAGCAGGTTATCAGTTAGACTGTGTTTGACTGGACTATATTGAAGTATCCACAGATTCGCTCCAGTTCTAGAGTACAAGTTAGTGTTCTCTTGATTTGTTGTATATAAGCCCTGCTTTATTTTGAGTTAGTATTTGTATCTTATATTTTTCTTTCTTTTATCAGCAGCCAATGGGAAAATTACCTATAAACCCTGGACCTTCAGCTGAAAGAGTACAAAAGAAAGACTCCAGGTCTGCTAGGGCGCCTCATTTTGTTTTGAGCACCCCCAAGATTTTGATGTTCACCCACACTTTTTGTACACACGCCAATTGAATTTGTCACGTGCATTGGGAACTTTCTATCGACTTCTGATTTAACATAATTATCTGAAAGTTAATAGGCTAATAAATGGTTGCCATTATTTATGTGCATCATCTAGTGAAGCAAGAAGTTCGAGACAGATTCTCTGGTGCAGTTGAGGCATCTGCCAGAAGGAATGGTTCTGGTGGAGGCTTGCATGGGGATAACTTGAGGCACAGATCATCAGACAGCGTGCCATCATCAGAAGATGTGGTGAGTACTAAAGATTTGGGTTTAATCTGTTTTGTCTATACTCTTTTTGTTGCCTTTGCTATTCATTCTCTGTGTGTGCATTTGTTCAAGGAAATTGCAGTATTAGTACCCAATCCATTGCTCCAATGGCAAGTTGGTCTCTAATATATGAAAAAGAGCTAGTTGATTCCCAAGCTTGCAACTGACTTGATTACAATATAGGTCGTATGTTTCTGTGACAGATCTCCCGCTTTTTATTATAATTGCACAATCGATCCCAGACAATAGAAACTGTGCAAATCTTTTTTAAATCTTCACACGACCGACCTTGACTTGTCCAACTTTATGAAGTTAACTTTTGCTTCCCAACTTTTGCTGGTGCCCTGAAACTTGAAGTTAGGATAGTTAAATTGTGACCTAAGATTTAGACAGTTACCATCATTTGGGACTGCTTGTGCAACAGTAATGGAAGTCTGGGAGAGGGGACAAATTGTTCATTTTTAAAGGTTGGGGACCATCTTGTTAATGGAGCAATATGTTGGAGATCAATGGTGCAATTTTCCCTTGTTTAAATAAACCTTGTGTTGAAATTCTATCATTATGTACCCTTGCTGCTTTGTCCTCCAGCAAACTGATTCTCAAAGAGGACGGTTGTCTCGCACTGGTAGTACATCTAAGAGGGCGGTACTATCAAGCAGTAGGCCAAGCTCCTACGGGGAAGCCAGCGAAAATCGCAATAGCCAATTAGGCTCAGGCAGCGATCAACTATCCACCATTCAAAGATTACAACCTGGATTTGAGTCCAAATCGTCTTCTTTTACTCGTGCTACGGTCTCTAGAGGTGGCAATGATGATGCTCTCCGTAGCTTCGATCTTCTAAGAATTGGCTCAGGGAAAAGGAAATAAGGGAATTTCATAATTGAAACATTTGGTTCCTGTGTGAAAGCCTCATTGCTCCCACATTATGATGGATATAAAGCGACCACCCTATTGTATACATTTGTGACTCTCGAGTACCCAGTGTGCAAACACAATTTCATTACTGGGGGCGATGTTAACAGCATGACGCTAAAATTCAGCTGTCTCCGAATATCGTTACTTTCTTTCTGATTCTTGCCTTAACCTTGTATTGTAACCCAACAAAGATGCATGTGATTGTGTATTGTCAAGGGAATCTGTTCAAGACTATTGTATAGTCCAACTAGTACTTGTCAACTCTTATACAGCTTTCGACTCCTATGGTGACTACCTGTGTTTCTTGGTCTTGTTCTCTCCTTATCTCAATTAGAAAGAATAAAAATAAAAAATTTTGATTGTTGAAGAGGAGGGGTTCTACTTAGAAGAAAGTTTGATTAGGCTGTTAACTAGACTGTCATTTTCGTTTAGTTAATTTTATGAAAGTGCTTTTTCTAATTAGATAAGCTTTTAGAGGAAATTGTCTAATATGACTTTCTTTAAAAGCACTTCCGGATATAAATTTTTTATGAAAATTAATTTTCAAACAAAAATTAAAGTAGATTCATCTATTTAGGGCACGTTTGACAATTTAAATTTAGTGATCAATAAAAACAGAGTAAAAGTTTGGAAATCAATATGAACATTTTGTCTTGTTAATTACAAGTAATAAACTTTTAAGTAACAACGTATATAATATTTTTTCGTCAAACTCGTTTTCAACTACACATTCTCTTAATAAAATAATTTTATACGTAAATTCAAAATTTTAATCTACTTAAACTATGCATTCTCTAAAAATTCATTACTACAAAATCTATTTTCCCAAAAATGGGGATCAAACAGTGGCTCAATAGAATCATAGAGAAAGTAATTTTAAATTTGAACTTTGGGGTTTACATATCCATTTAGGCTCTGTTTGATTAGCCACATTTTCCATGGAAAATGGAAAATTTTTTCCATTTT